CGGAACTATTTTTTTAGGAACGCGGTGCAATATTGTATATTACTATCTTTCTTCAAACTTTTTCAAAAATCTACTGAAATTAAAACAAATAATTAAATAAAAAGAGTACTAAAAATAATCCTAAAGGCGAATAGAAATGGGAAAACTCATATGATTATTTGTCTAATATACCTGAATCAAAAACTAAAAGGAACAACGACAAATATTTGGGAGTCGAAGAAAACAGTAGTTAGTACTTGGCTTTAAGCGCTGTATGTTTACGTATAAAATATGTTATCTCTGGTATTAATATGCGGACATGTATACTCTCTTAAGAGGTTGCAACGTAGTATATTTTATGCAACAAGCTACTCAAATACACCGAGTAAATTGAATGTTTTTAGCAACATTTCTATATTTTTATCTTAATTTGCTTTTTATTTGAATTTGCATATGTACGTTTATACTTTTTATTACAACTTTAAAAAAATTAATTTTTTTAAAAATCTTATATAATTTTGGTCGTCTTCTTAGGTGATAATGCAGTTGTAACAATGTTTTTGCTCATGGTCGAACAAATGTTGTGTAGAAACCATAAACATTATTGCTTAGCTTTAAAGCAATATGTACACGAAGCGTTGGCAATATATACAATTTTTCTTTTTTACTTGTCATAGATGAACTTGACAACAACATGAACAACAACAGTTCAGTTTATACTATCATAAACTGTCATGAAGAGTGAAGTTTATTTTGTTTTGTGCCTAACGTACATTTTTAATCGTTGAAGAGTCGTCCGCAATGCTTTCGCGTGCTTTATTTTTCGCGGAAGTATCGCTAAAGACGATGCTTTAGCGATACTTTTGTAAGAGAGTTATCATCGTCCGCGAATCGCTTAGACGCGCAACTATTCGCTCCCCAAAACCATCGCGAAGGCGCCCAAATGAACGCTAAACGCAATCATAAAAATATTGTTATTAATGCTCAAACCTCCAACCATCATTATATGATTGGAAATTTGTCATTCACTTCACTTGCATAATCCACACTTTTCGAAAGTGGTACAACGAAATATGACACGCAACACTTCAATGGAACCCCCAATGCAACTAACACAAAGGAAGACCATGTAGCACCTGAAGAAAAACGATAACAAATAACACCAGCAAAACTTTAAATGAATTACGTTATATTTCTAGAGATAGAAATTATTATTGGAGATTCTATATAACAAGTCTATACTCCTGATGGAGTAGAGGAAATAATAATTATACTAATACACAAGTATGATTTTATGTAATATATATTATATTTAATATACTATATTTATATATTTTAAAATATAATTGATTAATACAAACCAAATATATATATAAATAAATATATCAATTTTTCCTGTAATCTAAATAACTAAAACAGTTTTATTACAAATAAAAAAATAATTTTTCAATCCTTCAATATAGGATATG